TAGTGTAAGCACTACTTAGCAACAACTAAAACATTGGTGTGTTGTCAACATTGTTCTCATCCTAAATCCAAAACACAGCACTGTACCAGCTACTAGGAAGGAAATTAACTCTATCCCTGCCGAATCCAGGACAGTATATATAGATTATGGCCAAATATTAATTATTTTGTAAAATATATATATATATATATAATTGTGACTGTCCTTTTTTGTTAAGTACCATTTACCTGATGGTAGTAATAACATATATTCTTGACAAATAATTTTTTAAAAAGTAGATTAAGTAGATTAATAATATTACTTATTTATGACCAAGACTTTTCCAATGCCTGGAGTGCTGCAGTACTCACCAATATCTGATGTGTTTCTGACTGCAGAACAAGAAAGAAATAAGAGCCATTCAATTAATTCTTTCACATATGAAAATTAATATTTCTTGTGTAACTATTGCAATTTAAAAACTAAACCTTAAAGTTTAGCCTTCTTATTTAGTCTCTTAACTGGTCACATGTTTTCTAATGCATCGTTGGATAAATTTACTTACATTCTGTGGGTTAAATGCATAGCAAAACTGAGTAGTCCTATGTTGTTCAGAAGTTGCTGACCCTTTTTCACTATGGAGCTAAATGAATGAGTGAACTGCACTCTTTGAGTAGAGTGGGAATATGGCCTGCAGCAATTAGAAAGAATGTAACTGGCATTTGAAAGTAGAGTACTTAAGCTAAGAGAATGGAGAGAGATTGGTGGTGAACTTCAGGATAAAAGAGCATTAAGTTACAAAATCCTTTCATACAGCCCTTGTTAGGTGGGGGGGGGGGTGTTGTTTGTTTTTCATCCTGTCTTTTCTTGAAACTATCTTAGAGCAGCCATTGAATACTCACTGAACAGCAATGTATGTTACAAAGCATTGCCACTTAAACATTTTTGCATTTGTGTGGAATTTGTTCAGGTATGTGTATTTGAAAAAGGAACCTGGCTTTGACAACATGAATACCAGCAGGTCACTGTTCATGAACAGATTAACTGAGGGATAGGCATTTGTAACAACATCTGTGACAGCTTTTGTTTCCTTCTATAGGTAATAGAGTTTGATGATGGATCTGGATCAGTTCTCAGAATACAACCACTGCGCACGCCACGAGATGAAGCTATTTATGAATGTGTGGCTTCCAACAGTGTTGGCGAAATAAGTGTGTCCACGAGACTCACTGTTTTACGTGGTAGGTTCTTTCTAAACATAACTATTTGCTTCATAGAGATGAAAGTGCTATGTTGTTGTAAAAGAGAGGTTTCTCTCCAGGAAAGTTAAGAAAAGTTCTTTTCAAATAGGTGTTGTTATAGTCCTGATGCTGTTAAATACAAAATTTTCACATAATACTTGAATATTGTGTTTCTGATTTTTGACCATAAAATGGTAATCTGAGTATGTGAGGTATGACAGATTAGAGTGAAGAAAAGAAGAAATGAGTGAAACAGGAGTGCTGTGCACGACAGATTATTATATCAATTATTGATCAAAAACCACTGCTTTATGAATGCATTTGATTTACATTTAGTGCTGCCCTGGGTAGCTTAGCTTTGTGTGATCAGCATTTACACAGAAATTTGCCCGATTAACAGTGACCTTGAAAAGTTGCATAAGGGGTCTTTATGCAACTTGCGGTTAAGCTGCTACAAGATTTTCCCCCCAAGATATAACACATAAAAAAAGGGAGGGCTTCTTCCATTTCAAATACATCACCTGAATTGTATTCTTACTTCAGCAAGAAGTGTTTGAAGACACTAAAGAAAAAAAAATTTTTTTCAACTATCATTCAGGGGTGAGGATATGAATGTACTGCCTAGTCTACTGTCTAGATAATACTCAGAGGAGTAAATACTAGTAGTAAAATGACCTGAATGTTTCATTCTGTCACCTGGAGATTAATGGAAACTGGATTTGGAGACACTTCATGAAATATCACACTCTTCAGTTTGCAGGGTTGCTTTTATGACTGAAGATTACTGTCTTGTATTGTGATATTACATGGCGTTACTTGATTTGCAGAATTAACTGCTAGGGACCTGTTTATAGGAATTGTAGATGATTAATCAGCTTTACAGAATTTAGAAGAAAATTTGTAAAATGCATGAGTTAGATAATTTATTTTTTTTATCCTTCTATCCCAACAAATGTAGGGTGACAAGGAGGTTTCTTTTCTCTTGTTTTTCTCTGAAGAAAAAAAAAATATTTATTTCTATACTTTTATTAGCTATTTTAATCAGTACGGACAGTCCTGGCATTACTGTTGAAGTCAACTAACAACACTATGTACATATATAACAAATAATAACACTAAGTACACACATATTTTTTTCTTAGAGGTAGCCTGGTGTAAGCAAACCTTTTTAGTATTTAAAGTTCTTATCTCTAATGACATGATTGTTATCTTTTAAAAATTCTTCCTAGTCTAGCCAATGGAAATGGGAAGACTGATAGTTAGGTTCGTGTTTTAACAGCACCATGGACCTATTCTTAACTCCCTAAGATAAGGTTTTCCCTTTATTAACTGATAGAAGCACTTTTTATGCACAGCTTCCACATTGTTGAAAATAAACATAAAGTGACATTTTCATACTGCATTAAAAATTTTGTAAATTAAAGGGAGATGGGAAAAGGGAGGAGGGTGGAAAAAAAAGCAAAAAAAATGTGAAAACTCAGATAGAAGAGGTATTCTTTGTCTTCAGAGTTTCTTGAAATGTATTTACAAGACTCTCTGGTCTTGAAATGTGCATGCATGTGTTTTGAAAGATAGTGTTCTAAACCAACCGAAGTTCTCATTTTGGGGTTTGTAGAGAAGAAGCAAGAGCCCTCATCTCTCTACCAAGGGCCATAGCAGCTGAAAAAAGCAGAAGAGTTGTCTGAGTGTCAAAACTGACTGACTGTAAAATGTGATCTGTTTCTTTGCTTGGCCTCTTCATTATTTAATCAATTTCTTGTAAGGCGTATGTGGCTCTGCTGCCTATTTCTTACTCAAATAGCTCAGTGCTACTTCAGACAACACTAGCATCAGATCCTGTTTTAAAAACCATGCATAATGGTATGCATATGCAACTGCCTGATGAACAAAACATGTACGTTACTAGTTATGAAATCAAAATGTAAATCAATTTAAATTTTAATTAAAAATGAATTTTCTAATTAAAAATATGAACTATGAAGGATTATGTGTTGTTTCGGGCCATAGTACATACGGCTTTTGCAACTGCTGGAATATACTTTGGCCCCAGGAATAGATTTATGGATTTAATGTGAAACTGGGCACATAGGAGAACTCATGAACATACTGGGACTGTAGATTTAGATAAAGGGATAACATCAGAGAAAGGAAGGACCATGCAGAGTAACAGGGTATTGTAAGGAAATTTTGGCAGGGTTAAAATTTTGAAGTGCTATAATGACTTGCTACACTACTTTCCAAGACAAAGGATAACTCACTGCTAAGGGCATTAGCCTGGAAGAGAAGTAGTTCTATTATAGGCTTCTACTTTGCAAACTTACACAAAACTTCATCTTGTACAGTCTGCAGTAGTAGCCTTGTGGAAAACACTCCATCTGAT